TTTTTTAAAAGATTTTATTTATTTATTTGACAGAGACAGTAAGAGAGGGAACACAAGCAGGGGGAGTGGGAGAGGGAGAAGCAGGCCTCCCACCGAGCAGGGAGCCTGATGCGGGGCTCGATCCCAGGACCCTGGGACCATGACCTGAACAGAAGGCAGACGCTTAACAACTGAGCCACCCAGGCACCCCTTAACTTGGATAAATATTTTAAAAAACAAAATTGAGCAAAAAGGCAACTTACAAATGAATACAAAGAGCATACAACAGAATGGCGGGCTTTGTACACAAGTGATCTCTTGTGTAGCTGGAGTCCCCTTGCTTGGGCCCACATCCTGCTACCACTTGCAAGGTATGTGATCCTGGGCAAATTGTGTCACTTTTCAGTTTTCTCGCCTGTAAACTGGGGCTCATAATAAGATTTATACACAGGGGTATTGTGAGGATTTAGGGAAGTAATACAAGTAAAATACCTAGAACAGCGTCTGCCATTCATTGAATGTTAGCTACTGTTGTACTGGTGTAAAGTTTTAAAATAAAGAGTAGAATATTTTGCTGAGTGAAACATACAAATAAACCAAAACTTAAAAACATACAGGAAAATGACAATGACCACATGTAGAACAGTGGTTATCTCCGTGGGACAGAGAGGGGAAGGAGATTAGAGAAGGGAAGGGCTTCAACTACATTTGTAATACTTTATTTCTTAAACTGGGTGATAACCACATGTTTTTCTTCAATTGGTATATATTTATGAAATATTTCATATTAAATATTCTAAAACATATCAAATGAGATGGGGGTGGGTTTGTATTTTTGTAGACACCAAAGACCCTCCCTAATTAATTAGTTTTGTGGGATTTGGGGTTAGAGGCACAGAGGCTCCACAAGGAGGGATGCACCCGAACTGCCTGGCTCCTTTTCCTCATTCAGATCTGGGTTTAAATAACCTTCCTCAGAGAAGCCTTCCTCCAAACCTATTTTAAAGCAGCATACCCCCTTCACCCTCTAACACACTGCACTATTTTATTGCAAAGCGCATATCACTCTAGGCTGTTTTAGGATTATTTTATTCCGCAGTTGTCTGTCTCCCTCCACTAGAATGTCTGTCTTGCTCAACACTGTATTCCCAAAGTCTTTTCAAATCTTCAGGTTTTTTTGTTTGTTTTTTGTTTTTTGTTTTGGGATGGCTGGCTGGCTGACTGACTGAATGAATGACTATCCTTCCTCCATACTCAGGATGCCTCTTTTTAGCCGGTCTGGAGGGCAGAGGTAGAATGAAAAAAGCCTGAGGAGGGGAGGGAAGATTGCAGTAGGTTGAGGAGAGGGCTTAAGAAGATCTGGATTAGAGGAAGTGAGGGAAGCTGCCGACGCTGATTGTTTTCTGAGGGTAGAGAGTCACCGGCTGAACGTGAGTTGAAGAGCAAGAAGTCTAGGCGTCGGGGGCGGGGCCTCCAGGGCGGAGGCGGGGCCCGGGGAGGCGGGGCCTTGTACGAGGGTGGGGCCGGAGGGTGAGCGTTGCCCCGGAGGAGAGGCGGGCCTGCGAGCGGGTTGCTGGGAGCGTCGAGCTGCTGTTGCTGCGGCGGCGGCGGTGGAAAATGGCTGCCGCGGAGGCGGTGGACACTCAGCTGATGCTCGGAGTCGGCCTGATCGGTGAGGACGAAGGCTCCCTGCCCCGCAGGCCCGCGCCCCAGTTCCGCCTCCGCCTCCGCCTGGGCTGGGGTGGTCTCTGCTCCCGCGGCCTCCGGCGCCGCCCGCGGTGAGGAGGTCGCGGTCCCCTCTGTTGGGCCTGGGCCGGGGGCTGCGGGGCCCGGCCTCCTCGGCGCGGGGACTCGGTCAGTAGCCCTGGGCCCGTCCGTCTGCGGTCTCGCGTGGGACCCGCTCGGGCCGGGCAGCGGGGCGGAGGGGCCCCGGGCCTCCTCCCGGACGCCCGGTGCTGCAAACGAGCCCGGACATCGAGGGTGACCGAGCTCCGGCGGCTGCAAGGGGGCCGCTGCACAGGCGGGGCGGGGGCTGGGCGGAGAGCGGTCGAGGGCCGCGCAGCTGGGAGGCTGCGGGGCAGACCTCGGAGCTTCGGGGAGCCACGCGTGACTGCCTGCCCTGCACCGGGCTGGCCCGGATTATGTGGGTTGAGCGGTTCGAGTCTCGGTGGCTAACTGTGCCAGCCCGAGTACTGAGCATTATGCACGAATTACCTCCCGTTAGACTTCTACCACGGCTCCGGGGGGTGTAGGTCATGTTTGATGGCCACATTTTGGAGAAGCAGATGGAAGCCCAGAGTGCCATTTGTGCCGGACGCACGCTAGGAAGTGGTGGAGCCAGGTTTGGGACCCTTGCAGCCTAGCCACGGAGCCGCAACTCGTACCAGTGGAGGAACCCTGCATCATAAGATAAAGCTCATGCACGTAGCCGGAGTGTCCACATAATCTCATATGGTGGGGTCCCGGTTAGTTTTGAGGAAATAGTGGTTGAGGAAGTACGTTGGGATCTTTGGGTGTGCCTGAGCCGAGTGCAGTGTTTCAGGGTTGGGTGTTTCAAGGAACCATTCATCCCATAGGCTGCAGCGAGCACCCGGTTGCTTGAATGACTGTCGGTTCCCTGCGTGCCATTGTCCTTTGAAATAATATTCTATTGAGATTTTTTCAAACACCTAAACATTCTGTTCCTCTAATGTAGAAGAACATTGCTTGCGTTTAGCAAAACTGTCTATATTTTCAGTGTCTCAAAGGAGTGCATTTATCTGGGAATGGCTTCCTGTATTTATTTCTGGTATGATTTTTAAAACAAAACCTAATTATTTCAGGCATCTTAGTCCTACTTGAAGGTACTTCTGAATGAGGTTGGGTTAAATTCTGACTTTATCTGGTAACAGCAAAGATGAAGATGACTTATAATCATTTTAAATTCAGCAGGTTTTGTATTTTTCATGTGGACACGGATTTAAAAGGGATTTGCTTCAATATAACGGTGGGGAGGGAGCGCCTGGGTGGCTCAGTTGGTTGGGCGGCTGCCTTCGGCTGGGGTCATGATCCTGGACTCCCAGGATCGAGTCCCACATCCGGCTCCCTGCTCAGCAGGGAGTCTGCTTCTCCCTCTGACCCTCCCCCCTCTCATATGGTCACTCTCTCAAATAAATAAATAAAATCTTCTAAAAAAATAATAATGGTGGGGGAGAGCTCTCTCTCCCTCTTATGAAACGAGGAGGAGCCAGGTGTGTGTAGTTGCTGGCACTGAATGATGGAGATGGGGGAATTCATTTTTTAAAATTCTCTTTTCTAAATGCTTGGTATTTTTCATAATAAAATTGTTTTTTAAAACCTATAGAGTAGATCAAAATCTGCATCCTTCCTGCTATATGTGCAATAACTGTTTTTCTGAAGTTTGGCTACATTATTGAGGTGTTCACTTTGATGATGAAACTACATACATGACGGCATAACCATTATTATTATTATTACTATTTTAAATACAGAATTTGCACAAGCAGTAACGTTTCACCATTTTCTTCATCCCCAGTTTTGTTTTTAACAAACCCTTCCTATGTATTTATTAAAGATCCTTCTCAATAGATAAAAATATAATGATGAGTTTATGAGAATTTGTGTGGGAGGGGAAGGGTAAAGGGGAAAACCTCTACCAAAGCTGTAAGGCTAAATATTCATTCATGATTTGTTATAAAAGCTTTTTACTCAGGTGGCCTAAAACTCAAGATCAGGAGAGCTAGATAATTTGACCAGTAGAGGTAGGTGGGAATTTGGGGTCACACGTGCTCCGGGATGCTTTGTAAAATGGGATGTTAAAACTGATTCCACTAAGTGCTTCTGAGTAACCAATCAATTCACTTCCTTGCTGCTGTTTGACATTCTCACAGTGACCATCTTTCCACCGTAGAAAAGGACACAAATGGAGAAGTTCTGTGGGTGTGGTGTTATCCTTCCACGACAGCTACTTTAAGGAATTTACTGCTGAGAAAATGCTGCCTTACAGATGAGAGCAAACTTCTCCATCCCTTCGTCTTTGGTCAGTACAGAAGAACATGGTTTTATATCACAACAATCGAAGTTCCAGATTCTTCAGTTTTGATAAAGGTATGACTGCATAAAGGTCAAACAACCAAAAATAATTAACATGATGTCACATTATTCCAGTCACTCTTAGCTTTTGACATTATCATTCACATACGCTTTTGAAAAATACTAAACATGATTTTCATTGGGAATGTTCCCTTTCAGGTTTCACTCATTTATTCTATAAACTTTTGTTGGTGTATATTATATGACTGACCCTGTGGTTGGTATAGTGAAGCCCTTTCCAGGTTATACTCTTTTGGAGTAGAAATGTAGAAGAACTTTAAAAGTCATGACTCTGATTAATAAAAGTGGAAAGAAGCATTTTTCTATAGTTAAAAACTATTTTAAAGGATAAAATTATCCTTGGCATAATTAAGAAAACTTGTTTCATTTGTGGATGGTAAGGATATATTAAGAATAGAAAGGAGAATTAAGGAAACTCATGTATTCGGTAAGCTTTTTGTGTGTGTCATTTGATACGAACAGTATCAGTGTGACATGTTGAAAACCAGTATGTGGTCATTGTGGGCTTTCCTAATCCCAAGCGACCAGCACTTTTTTTTCAAAGAAAAGAAATATTAGAAAGTGGCTAAACTCCTGGCGTGTTCCTAGGTGGGAACTTCCTTTACCTTCCAGGGCTGCTTTTATAACCAAGAACCAGACTATATGAAGCATGTCCAAGATACCAGTTTAAATGTAAGGAATTACATTTAAAATAACAGGAAGGCAACTATTTAAAACTGCTAGAGGTTTGGGGCGCCTGGGTGGCTTAGTCGGTTAAGTGTCTGATTCTTGATTTTGGCTTAGGTCATGATCTCAGGGTCCTGAGATCGAGCCCCAGGGCAGGCTCCACGCTCAGCAGGGAGTCTGCTTCTCTCCCTCTGCCGCAGCACCCCCCCCCCACATGCGCATTCTCTCTCTCTCAAAATAAATAAATAAAATCTTTAAAAAAATAAAGAATTCTAGAGGTTTAAGATGAAACAGATTCATAACTAGAAAATGTAAATTGCAAAAAAGATAGTTTTCATTGTGTTATAAAAGCTTTGGTTTAGGGG